GCAGGAAGGAGTCATTCATTAACAGAAAATTAGTCATTATTTTCTTTAGAGACTATCTGACTTTAGCTTAGATGTAACAGAAATCTGGTTTTCCTCCACTACATTTCATAAATATAGATCATACTCAGGTATAGAACCTGATCCAAACCCAACCTGAATCCAGCTTTTGGACAAGGTGAAATGCAAAAGCACAAATTCACACATATCAACTTAGTGTACTTAAGTAAGAGAAGAAAAAAGAGATATACATACAGGCATCTGGGTTTCTTATTTAATGAAATGTCTGTAAACTGCAAAGCAAGCAAAACCAGGTTATTAATACTATATTACCAAGTAATTAAAGGATAAAATATACACTTTAAAATCATATTTCCATCCTCACCTGCTGTGAAAACTACAAGAGCATCCAGGAAATAAACTGAAAACCCCTCCGCTTTTACAGATTATTACTCTCTCAGTTTATGAACATGTTTTTAAAATTCATATGAGTTGCTAGTAGTTGGATTTTTCCCCATTATTTTTATTGCAACCATAATCAAAGTAAATTGCTAACGTGGTGTGGGCTGAACAGAGATCTTTCATTAAACAGTATGGATACAACAAGAAGCAATTATTGTGTTCAAGATAATTAATAAGGGGCAGTGCCTGAATAAGCTGTATTAAATTAACTTTCAGATCCTTTGATATTGCAGTGATACGTTTCCTTTACAAAAGCAGCCAGGAAACCCATCGCCCTTGTCTGCCTACAGCTGCACTGAAGGGTGGAGGGCAAGGACGCCAGCATTTCTCTCCCTTCCCACCCCAAGTCCTGAGACCAGCTAGGGACAGCATAGCCTCAGTGCCAGCACTAATTTGCATGACTTCATTTTTTGCCAACAGTTTGGTTCACAGTGTGGAAACACTTTGTCTAGGCTCTCTTTTGGCAGGGGTCAGGAAAGGAGGTGTTTAATGCCAGCTCAGCTTAAATCGGTCTGAGTACTAAATCGGTTCTTTGTGCTGAGCTCCCATCAGAGCTATCAGTCTGAACCTCTGAATATCATTTAATGAAGTCACTGAGCCAAGCAAGTCAGATCTGGCATCTGAAAATGATTATGTTCTTGTAAATGTTCCCTCTGTCCCTGGTATTGTCCACGCTTTGCAGATGGATTCTTGCCCAGCCTGACTTTGTCTGTCATCTGTCTTGGATGGAGTCTGGAGCCACCTCATGGTGTGCCTTTCTGTAATTACCTCCTGAAGGTCAGGAGTGGAGTCTGGAGCCACCTCATGGTGTGCTTTTCTGTAATTACCTCCCGAAGGTCAGGATGGCCAATATTTGGATGGGTGACCTTAAAGGAATGCTGAATTCATCCAGAAAGCAAGGCAGCTGCCTTAAAAATTAAAGCCTCCCCAAGGGATGCCACTGAGCCAGGGATCCCAGTAAACACATCAAGAGCAAGGGAGATGATGTACCGTTGAGGCCCATCTTTATGGTCCCCCTCAATCTTGTTACAGACACTGTTTGAGATGACTTGCACTGGATTTCAGCACATCTATATTTACTCAGGTCTTACCTAATGCTCTTTGTCTTCCAAGTGGCTATGGGACCCTTTCCTTACCACCACTGCACACCTGTTCAGCACTGTGCATGCCTTCCTCTCACATCCCAGGGAGAGCAACTGCTTAGCACAGGCAGCATGAGGTACTCATTTAAACTGAAATGTTCTTTGGAAGGCATGTGC